CTCTCTCTCTCTCTCTCAACAATAGAGGCAAAAGACAAGAATGATGGGTTGCTTTAACCCGCCCAGGATGGAGACAAGGGGTGACTCGGATGGGATACTGCCAGGTCCTGAGATAAATCTTCACAGACATAGCAATATATGTTGTTACATTCTCTCCCTCTGATCTGCTACATAGATGGGACCGCGGAAGTCATATTAATCTGCCGATGTGCTGCCACAGATACGCTACTACATGCATGGAGACACGTGAGGAAGGCCATGAAGTATTTATGCTACCAAGTCTATACTGAAGAGTTGCTTGCTTACATTGGCAATTTTCTATGAAAATGTGGAGCAATTACGTGCATATCGACTTCAGGACCTCTGTGTAGCCTCTTAGTCTCGGCTGTCGAAGGAGGATGCGCATCTCAGGCAATAAGTTACAGTAAGATCAATAAGTTACATTAAGATACAGGAGTAGCGGTAAATAGGTACCTGGGAGTTAGACAGCTGCTACGGGCTGCTTCCTGGGGATGTGTAACAAAAAAGAGGCCTGGTCGAGGACCGGGCCGCGAAGAACGCTAAGCCCAGAAGTCATCTCAAGATAAGATCACGTACGTTTTGAGAAGCTACAAGACAATCGAAATCTCATGAGGAATGATACAACAAAGATTCGTGGGTGAAGCTGTAGGCAGCTAAAGACGAGCCACTGGAATGTCAGATAGACATTTTTATGATAAGATTGTTTCTACTGTGTGGGTCTGTGAGTGTGTGTGTGCGCTCACTTAGATGTATGCTTGTTGCATCGAGCACTAGCTCCTAGTTTCCAATTTTCCAAGTTTCCGATCATGCACCGAGTATAAGATTTTCTGTTTCTGTGCACATATATGCTTTTAAAAGTGTGTTTTAACTAACCTATGTATACCTATCACACCTCACAACCTACATCTGGTTATAGGTACAGATAATTCAGTTTGAAACATTTAGCACAACTTTGTTAGCACTAATTCCCGTGAAATTAATAAAAGCTAAACAAACACACATACACAACCACTTACACAAGTACAAACACACATACACAACCACTTACACGCATATCTATCTATCTCTCTATCTCTCTCTCTCTCTCTCTCTCTCTCTCTCTCTCTCTCTCTCTCTCTCTCTCTCTCTCTCTCTCTCTCTCTCTCTCTCTCTCTCTCTCTCTCTCTCTCCTCTCTCTCTCCCTCTCTCTCTTCCCTCTCCTCTCCCTCCCTCTCCCTCTCTCCCTCTCTCTCTCCCTCTCCCTCTCCCTCTCTCTCTCTCCCTCTCTCCTCTCTCTCTCTCTCTCTCTCTCTCTCTCTCTCTCTCTCTCTCTCTCTCTCTCTCTCTCTCTCCTCTCTCTCCTCTCTCTCTCTCTCTCTCTCTCTCTCTCTCTCTCCCTCTCTCTCTCTTCTCTCTCTCTCTCTCTCTCTCTCTCTCTCTCCCTCTCCCTCTCCCTCTCTCTCTCTCTCTCTCTCTCTCTCTCTCTCTCCTCCTCTCTCTCTCTCTCTCTCTCTCTCTCTCTCTCTCTCTCTCTCTCTCTCTCCTCTCTCTCTCTCCTCTCTCTCTCTCTCTCTCTCTCTCTCTCTCTCTCTCTCTCTCTCTCTCTCTCTCTCTCTCTCTCTCTCTCTCTCTCTCTCTCTCTCTCTCTCTCTCTCTCTCTCTCTCTCTCTCTCTCTCTCTCTCTCTCTCTCTCTCTCTCTCTCTCTCTCTCTCTCTCTCTCTCTCTCCCTCTCTCTCTCTCTCTCTCTCTCTCTCTCTCTCTCTCTCTCTCTCTCTCTCTCTCTCTCTCTCTCTCTCTCTCTCTCTCTCTCTCTCTCTCTCTCTCTCTCTCTCTCTCTCTCTCTCTCTCTCTCTCTCTCTCTCTCTCTCTCTCTCTCTCTCTCTCTCTCTCTCTCTCTCTCTCTCTCTCTCTCTCTCTCTCTCTCTCTCTCTCTCTCTCTCTCTCTCTCTCTCTCTCTCTCTCTCTCTCTCTCTCTCTCTCTCTCTCTCTCTCTCTCTCTCTCTCTCTCTCTAACATTATTTATCATCACTTCCTTTCTCAGTTCTTCTTTCTGCCCTCCCATGTGCCTCCTCCTCCCCCCCCCCTTCACTCCTCTCCTTCTGTCCATGTACCCTTCATGTGTTCCACCCGGTTGTCAAGTCCCTTCATCCCTCGTGCCCTCCCCTCATTCCTCCCCCTCATGTCCACCCTCACCAGGCACGACTTCTCACATCTCGTGACCCCTCCTTCTTCAATTCGTTTCCATTCACCCGACGTGAGTCCTCTCCGGCACCTGGACCCCGGCAGAAGTCAGGAGAAGAGCAAGTTGTACACACAGCATAACGGGTCCAAATGATCCTAGTCATCTTGCTGAGAGGCAAATGTACACCCCACACTAAGCCACACCCCGGGGCTGGTTCCCCACACCCCGGGGCTGGTTCCCCACACCCCGGGGCTGGTTCCCCACACCCCTGGGAGAAGCCAACCACCCCTGTGAGGGAGGGAAGGGGGGGAAGGCAAGTACACTTGCCGTTCGTTGTCTCTAAATGAACGTGCACAACCCTTCCGTTCCCGCCTCGTTCATTATCACGAATAAATGTGTAAAGTACCGTTCCATCCTGGGAAAAACAAATGAGTAATTACCCACACGATAAACATCGTAGCTTCTCACGACAAGCGTGAGAAGCTCAAATAGTACAAACTCAAATATTTTTCCGAGATCGTCAATGAATTTGTTAGGTTAATACAGGTCGTTCTTACAGCGGTGAGTATTTGCTCATTTTTGTGTGTTCTTCTTACTTGATTTTTGTATATAATTTACATAAATATTTTGAGTGTATTTTTTGGGGTGTTTGTTTTATTTACTTGTGTGCGGGTGTGTGTTTGGTGATTTCTTGTGTATATCTGATGATTATAGGGTAGAACAGAGGGTGGAGGGAGGAGCAGAGCTTAGTCGCCTTTTGTGATGTGTACCGAAGGTGGCTACTAAAAAAAATAACTTATTACACAAAGCCTTTACATATCTTTGGATTCGTGTTCAATTAATCTTGAGCTCCAGTATCCTACTTGCATCCGGATGTTATACCGAACGGTTGTCAAGGATGTTGGGCTCCTTCTAGTTATGTTCCCCATGCTATCCTAGCCCACACCAGGCTCCCCATGCCATCCCCCTCTCCCCACCAGTATCTAGGAATCCCACCAGTATCCAGGAATACATGTCCCAGGGAACCCTCTGAATCCAAAATCAACCCGCTGTCCTCTGACCCAGACCTGTCGCCTCCACCCTCTACCTGACTATAATCAAACATGGCTCCCTCCTCCTCCTCCAGGTCAGTGGCCACGACTATAAACGTCACGTCTAGCATTATCCAAACAATTTGTAATAGTCGCCAGCTACACGAGCTGACATCTACAGACTTGGAGTCACGAGGGTTCAGTGATCCCTGTGATCTTAGCAAGCCAGTAAGACACAGAGTACAAGGATACCTACAATGAGAGGTGTACACCCGCTTCTTGGTATATACACACTGTGAGTTTACTTTGGTTCTGGACTGTGTCCAAGATATACTGGCTGGTTGGACAGTAAGCACACTTGGAGGCATTAATATTCCAGAGGCTGACAGGTATTAAGCCCAACACTTAACCAGCAGCAAAGGTATAGTCTGGACAATGTTGACCCTGAGATTGCTGGCCTTATCCAGCAGTCCTGAACTTCGCTGAACAAGCTGAACTTTCGACCCTCTTGCAAATATAATTTTTAAACATTTTCACAAGAAGGGAAAACAATAAATGTAGGAATAGATTTTAATACAATATACAGGCTTAAGAAAACAGTTTAAAGACACTCTAGTTTTCACTTATTTTTCCTTAATTTGAATAAATTATTTTTGTTAACAAACACTGAACAATAATAATACATAGTTTATAACAGTATATCGACAGCCTGCAACAAATTTCATGACTTACATTTATATCTAACTTATAAATACATCTATAGTCAAGCTTAATGCAGCAGTTAATGATTGTTGACAAATGATCATACTGTGATCGTGGTATAAAAGAAAAGAACATTTTGGTATCAAAAACTTTTCATTAAAATAGTGTAACCAGCTTCACAAGATTGTTGCTTACTTAGCTAAATGAACCGAAAGGTCCAGTTCCTGAGCACATTATGTGGCTTTGTAACCCGTTACCCCCACCGCCCACGGGACGGGCTGCATAATACATGACTAAATAATAAAAATTTGGTGTTAGAAATGCCGTAGATTTGATGATATTAGGTGAACAGCTGGCTAGATCACATGCCATAGCAGTGCTCCGTTAGGAGAGAAGTCAGACCAGATCCCTGTCTCTGTCCTACGGAGCTAGGTCCCCCCATTAAGTCAGGTCCCCGTCCCTGTCAGGTCCCGTCCAGTCACGTCCCCGTCCCAGTCAGGTCCCCGTCCAGAAATTAAGGTCCCACCTATCAAAGACAATACGAGGGACAAGTCCCACAAGACAATAAATTTAGACAATACCAACGTAACGTTAATCTTAAGTGCTATGAATACCACGAAGGCTCCGGAGGCTACTTGATGCCAGGGAGGTAATTTACGGGATACTTGTCTTTAGTGCCCTCAGCCCTCGCTACTGTGATCTTCGCGGATGATGGCCTTTTTGGGAGGGAAACAACTTCAACTTCTTATTCTTCTTCTTTTTATTCTTCTTCTTCTTATTATTATTATTAACATAATTATTTTAATTATTATTTCATTATCATTACCATAATTCTTACGACCAACGAGGTCATTCCAGGTACCTCGTTGGGAGATGATGAAGCAGGCGGGAGTCGTGTGTGTGGCGGTGGCGACGCTGTGCTCAGTGACCTCCTACACCGCGGCCAGCCACTCCGCGCCCTTTCTCCAAGATTCTGATCCTTCAAACATCCTCCAGAAGAGAGACTACAAGGTTTCTGAGGTAAGTGCCCTTCATTTGCGTTATGTATGTGTGTATATATATATATAGGCTACTAGGTACGACATATATATATATATATATATATATATATATATATATATATATATATATATATATATATATATATATATATATATATATATATATATATATATATATATATATATATATATATATATATATATATATATATATATATATATATATATATATATATATATATATATATATATATATAACCCAAAACAACGTAATGGTAATGGACGTTTTGCAACCCAAAACATTAGTCTAAATCCCGGCCCCTTCTGTAAGCTCTGGGAGCGTTGCCCTGGCCGATATTCAAACACTAAGATTAATTAATCCTTTGGCACTGTAATCCCTAACACAGTTGGTCTTCATATTACTGTGCACATCCTTGTTAAGTGAATGCCACACAGGGCAGCACTATGACTCTGACCATTTGGCACAGGCTACATGGCACTGACACCCTGACAAATGACCTTGCTACAGGACATACCGGCAGCCCCTGCAGGTGAAGACGGGTTCTACTACTACTATTACCCTTTGGAGGAGAAGAAGGAGTCGATAAAGAAGTTGGGCAACGACCTCGATAAGTGCACCGGCGAGAAGGTGAGATGTAACTAGATGGTCAGGTGGGAGACACAGGGTCGTGGATGTTAGGGATATAATTAGTGGTAATGGACGATAATGGATCTTGATTAGGTAATAGATCATGAGTCTTGGTTGAGTGGGATGAAACATGTGAGGCTAGTGGGTTGGGTGAGAAAATGGTTGGTTGAGCGGTGAAGCGTGGCCCTTGGTCGGTGGGGGAGGATGGATAGTAGGTATTGATAGGGGAAACAAAAACAAAATTGACTCAAGGTCGGATGCAGTCCAAGAGTTGCTTGGCAGGGAAGAGAAACTGGATAAAAGAGATAGACTGGGTCGTGGATAAAGGGATAGACCGGGCCATGGATAAGGGGATAGACAGGGCCATGGATAAGGAGATAGACTAACCATGGATTAGGGGATAGACTGGGTCATGTATAAAGGGATAGATCGGGCCATGGATTAGGGGACAGACTGGACCATGGATAACGAAATAAACTGAGCCTTTGGTAAGGGAATAAACTGGCCTTGAATAAGAAACTATACCGGGCCTTGGATAAGGGGGATAGACTAGACCTTAGATAAGGGGAATAGACTAGTATTTGCCTAAATTGGAGAGACAATGTTGTTTATGAAAAACAGTGAGCATGGGTCAAGGGCAACTATTTACAAACTAAAAGTATTAAATTTAACTTTTGCTGGCGATTCACATGTAAATATTATGTTAAAAAAATCTGTTTATATATCACATGTTTCTAATTTTGCAGCTTCTCGCCCCTCTCATCATCATTTGCATCTTTCTGGGCATCATCGCCTTCAAGGACATTGGACTCGTACCCATTTTCCAAATTCCGCCCATTACCGTCCCTAAACTAACTATCCCAGACATCAAATTTCCAAAGGCCCGAGAGCTGTCCGAGTATGTTCCTTGGGATGCTGTTAACCAGGTGAGAGATAATGTATTGACTAGATATGCTGTAGTTATGTCTCATTAAGGGAATGAAGAAATGCATTGCTGATCTCATTTATTGTATTGTAGTATAAATTTTTTCCCCTTTATCTTACCACCAATTTACTCCCTTTCATTTTTTAAATTCCCTCTACATTCATGTACATACGATAGGCATGTACTTAGTAGATGGAACAGTATTAAATGCTGTTAATAGCTTTTATTCTGTACTACTGTACTGTACTGTATTTTTATTAAAGTTACTAATTAATTATCAAAAGAAATTGGAATGCTTACAGGGTTATATACTTTGTATCAAAAAACATTTAAAAGTTCCCAGATATCATTCGGAAGGCCAATATGAGAGCAGGAGTGAACAATTTATGTATGTAATGGAATTTTACCTGACAAAATCCTTATAAATCATTTATTATATAATTTAATACTATTGCTATGTAGATGGAAGAAGTCTAAAAATCGTAACTTTTGAAGACAATTAATCACCAACTGTCAACACACAATGGAGTACACTCAAGAAACACATTTTAACATGTAACTGTCAGCATTTCTGTCATGTGCATTTTGCATGTGGTACTCACCTAGTTGCCTAGTTGTGCTTGTGGGGGTTGAGCTCTGGCTCTTTGGTCCCGCCTCTTAACTGTCAATCAACTAATGTACAGGTTCCTGAGCCGATTGGGCTCTATCATATCTACGCTTGAAACTGTGTATGGAGTCAGCCTCCACCACATCACTTCCTAATGCATTCCATTTGTCAACCACTCTGACACTGAAAAAATTCTTTCTAATATCTCTGTGGCTCATTTGGGCACTCAATTTCCACCTGTGTCCCCTAGTGCGTGTGCCCCTTGTGTTAAATCGTTTGTCATTATCTACCCTATCAATACCTCTGAGAATCTTGTATGTGGTGATCATGTTCCCTCTAACTCTTCTGTCTCTCAGTGACGTGAGGTTTAATTCCCGTAGTCTCTCCTCGTGGCTCATACCCCTCAGTTTGGGTACTAGTCTGGTGGCAAACCTTTGAACCTTTCCCAGTTTAGTCTTATGCTTGACTAAGCATAAAGTATTACGGTAGTGGTAGTGACGCTCAAGATACATACTCATGTGACAGTGATCATCAACATGTCAACTTGCAGATGACACTAGCAGTGACTGAGGCAGTGGAGAGTGAAGAGTGTTTACCACGCCTGATGTGTGAGTCAGGCAAGTATGCTACTAACTACACTACAGCTTTAAGGTAAGTATTCCTCCTCATGGAAGGATGCTGATGTGGCCTTAACAGTTACTGTAACTGATAGACCTGTCTTACATTACTCAGTTTAAATCGGTTTAAAACTGTTACTAGAATTACAAAATACCAATCTTGTACTTAGAACACAAAAGAGTCTTTATTAAACATATTACGTACAAATTAAAGGCAAAAAGGCTATTAAGAGGCATCTCATTATTTATATTAAGCCATTCTCCCTCAAATATCTCCATCCTATATATCCCTAGAACTTCCCAATGCATTTATGTCTATGATTCTGCAAGTAACCTTGTTTCTCACATCTGAACCATATTTTTTTTTAATGTTTGTTTGTTTATTTTTTTTCCAAGTCTAAACTTTACCAATTTGCAATAGAATAGGAGAACAACAGTTAAAGTCTTCCATAGGTAATCTTGAACTGATATTTTCAGAATCTTATTTTACATAGTCTTTATCCATTTGTATTTTGTTATGCCTCACTTAACACCTTTCATAATGTAAATTTATTTTGCAAAATCATTTTAATATCTTGCATAGCCCAAGAAATAGTAGAGAAATGTAAAAATATATTATGGTCTTTCAAATTATATTAACTTGGCAATGAGACGATAACTTTTCACTCCGTGTTATTCAGGAAAACATTCTCATATGAAATAAAAACTAAATGTGATAAATCAGGAAGGTTATATATACAGTATAGCACTGTGTTAAAAGAATATTCAAGAGAACCTAAATATCATTCAGGAAACCACACCATGAGCAGTAAGACATTGTATCAGCTACATCAGCACATTACCCTTAACCAATCAACAAGTAGCATTGGTTGAATCATCTATAGCTCAAAATTAGACATTCTGATAAGTACCTAGAATATTTAAATGTTTATGCATAGTATTATGTTGCATTTACATCCTTAATTACTTTTAACAAATTTCTTCCAGTTTACTGGAGCTCTTCATACCACAAAGATTGAAAACCCACATGAAGATCCTCAAAGATTCTGCACTTGTGAAGAATGACTGCACTAGTTATAAGTGCAGCTATGCAGAGGAATACAATGAAACTTAAATGTGAGATTCTCAACACAAGAGGAAAAAGCTCTGTGACCACTGTTATGGATTAATTTGAGGTCACTGTTCTGGCATAATGACCTGTGTTCCCCGTAAAATTTACGTTGTGCATTGAGGTCATATATTTCTCTTTTCAGGGAATTTTTGTGCTCATGAATGTTGCAGGCAGAACTATAGTACAGTATTGTGAAAACTTCTCTTTTGGAATTACAGTAAAAGTATAAAACATTGAATAATGAGATACATTCCAGCACCTAACTTTGCCGAATAAAATGAAAACAATTAACCAATAAAAATGTAAGACATTCATCTTGGAATGAGTTCTTAAGTTTCAAAGAATGCCTCTTCACTTCATACTCACTGATATTTAATATAGTATTTATTTTGTTTAATAGCTATTTATGTGTACTATATAGTAATAATATATTATGTAACACTATAATTATGAATAATGTAGTTTTGCTTTAATGTAATAATATGTACATTTATTCAGAGATGGAAATGGGGGGATCGTATACCTACTTCTTAATTTTCCAGCATTTTATTTTTAGTTGTCAAGCATCTAGCAATTAAAATTACATTTGTTATAATTATGGATGATCCCTCACTATAAATCCTGGATACAGCCTTAGTGTATACCTAGTTGCCAAAGCCAGCATATACCCAATTCCTGAAACCCATTTCCATCACAGACAGTATTACTGTTCAACATATAATGACCAAGCCACACACCACAAGATGAAGAGACAACAACGTTTCAATCCATCCTGGATCATTATCAAGTCGATTGTGGATAATTCGGTCCAGGACGGACCGAAACGTCGTCATCTCTTCATCTTCTGGCGTGTAGTTTGGTCATCATATCTTCCGCCACATTGTGACTCATTGTCTGCACTGTTTAACATATATTTTAATTTCCCTGTTTACTGTACAGTTTGTTGTTGTGATTGTCAATTCATCTTTAAGGAGTGATATTTATACAGAAATACTGCACATGTATAATAAATTTGTTAATAGAAATATGTGACTTTATAATTTGTTTGCTCAATATCAGGCAAGGAAAATAATATCAGTTTTCAAGAGCAAGAACCTTGAAGACAGCAGAAGGAAAGCAATTAAATGAAATTTTGTGGTGGAAGGCTAATGGTTTAAGACAGTTTTCTTCTGAATTACATACAATAGAAAATTGTGTCATTTCAATACATAATTTTGTATGGCCAAAATTTCTTATTTTCAATATTTTAAATTTTCAATTTCAATGTACAGGTACATTAAATATTGTAGTTATTAGGAAATTACTTTAGCCTATTTTAATTTTTTATAAATAATAAAATGCCCAATTTGCTTTATGTAAGTACTACTATTAATTATTTTTTAGGCAATATATAATTTTCTGTGATAATCATCAATAGGAAGTTTAGGTTTGTTTAGAGAAAGAGAGTTAGGAAATCTGAAGATTATGTCAATTTAGTATGGCCAATATGGAAAAAGGTTAAGGAAACTGACCACTTTCACTTTCAATTTTGACAGTGTGGAGTCTGTTACTGTATAAGATAAACCTATCCATTTGTTTCTCCACGTATAATAAGGCCCAGTATATTACTGGAAGATATGTTAAGCTATAAAAGAACTAGGCTTCGAGATTAGGGGAATTTTCTTAAGGGCAGGTATTGCAATTTCATCCATAGTTCTTTGGAGTCCATAATATTATGATGATACAGGTATACCCAGCATAACGTCACTAATTTGCACTTGAGAAAATAATAAACTGTACAGCTACTTATTGGATATCAGAAACCAAAGGATTGAGGGGTTAAAAGATTGTGAAGATGAGCAGCTACAGTATGGTGAACAAACATACATATATAATAGTGCACAATAAGTGTAAACTAACAATGTTGGGTGAAAGAAATTGGTTAGGAGGGAGCATATGAATACCATTTAGTTATCATACGGAGTAATTACTTAGTATCTAGCCTATGAAATTTAATGAGAAACTTCTTTAATTTAATTTAAACTTCTGGCTTAAAAATGCCATTCACGATTATATATGATGCTCACTGCACAATGATGTAAAATATTGCACATTCTTTACTACACTCACTCTTTGCTTCCTTTCACTATGTCACAACGTTAACCCACCTTCGTCTTGGCATTCTTTCCTATCCTCAAATTCACTAGAATACACTTTCCTCACCAGTCTTTCATCATCCATTCATTCAACATGTCTAAACCATCTCAGGATGCTCTCCAGACTCTTGCTATTTATTGACATTTGCACTTCACACCTCACCATAACATTTACTTTCCAAACACCACACCTGCTTCTTCTTGTCTATTTTTTTGTATTATAACTCTTTAATTTTTCATGGCCACACCGCACCAGCATCTCAATAATAGATGAGAGTCGACCCCACTGCTCAATCATGCAAATTGAATTCATTTAGTCCTGTCTAATTGTTAATAACCAGAATTTTCATTGCAGCACCCAATTTACTTCCCTAACTGACTATGTTCTCAACTTTAATTGCATAAATTCATCTTTTTAGCAATCACACATCCCAGATATTGTGTGTGGCATCAGGTGTAAGGAAACAGGTTAAAACAAGCTATTTTTAAGTAATACATAAAATGAACCTTTGAATACAGTATAACAGCAACATTTGATACCAAAACTATAACTTATAATACATAATTCAATTTAAAAAAAAATATACCAAGAAATCCCCCACACACACAATTCAAAACTAGTTATAAAACACTTCTAAGATAGTAGAGTTTTCACAGTCTCTGGATCACGAGGAAGAAGGCAACTTGGATCATTGTAGCCATGGCTGGGGTCATGGACAATTACATAGAGCTTGGTATACACTGATGTTATGGCTTCTGCTGTTCGCTGCTGCAAGGTCCTACGGAAACTTGAGCTTAGGAGGAGACGTGTATGAGGGAGCATGAGATGATCAGGTGCTGCCAAGAAGCCATCAAGTTTAGTCTGAAAATAAAAGTCAATCTTAATTAAGGATCCCTAAGGTGTAGTCCAGAATAAAAATGCCTCAGTCAAATATGTAATTCATTGAAATGTGCCAATTTCCTTTTTAAGCTTGCAATATGCTTAAACACATACAATTTTACAGTTTACCTGAAATTCATCATGCTAAGCTTTCAGTTATGTCAAAAATATGAAAAATTGCAAAATGAAGGAGGGGTACAACTGCAACAGTATACATTTCTCAGCGTACCATGAAAGCCTGTATGGCAAGAGGTTGGCAGGCAGGGTTCTGCGAGAGTGGTGTGGTGGGATGAGTGATGAAGGGGTACATGCTGGCCACACCCACACTGTGACACACTCCACTGATCTGTTCCTGTGCCAGTGTATCCAGCTGGGCATCAATCTGGCCCTATACAAATTCCATCGAATTTTTAAACTGTAAATCACATTTAATTCATAAAAAAATCTCTCTTATTGTGAGCCAAACACTGCCATAAAGTTATTAACAAATGTTATTATATAATTCTTCATGTAATTTAGAAATACAAAATTACCAGTAATTTGAAAAATAAAAAATAAAGAATACATATTATATAATACAGAATACATATTATAATAATAATACATACATATTATAATAAAGAATACATATTATAAATACAGGTTTATTTACATTACTTTAATTTCTCTTAACTTCAATCACTTGAATTGTTAGATATTCAAACTTGGGTCTTAAAAATACAAATCTCTGATAATTGATGTGAATGAAACCCACATTATTGTAGATTGCATCTTATCTCTTTTAAGAATCAAAAATTGCTTTTTAATTTTTATTTGATGGTGCAGCCATTAAAAATTTAATAATGTCTCAATCAATGTTGTATTAATGCCTGTGAGTGGGGATAATATAGGTTTGAGACATCTATTTTAACACAAGACAGAAACTTTAACCAATGCATAACTCACAACTACTATACAATGCATTTATTTGTTTAGCATTTCTCTTAGTGCTTGACCACTAAGATCATATTTCATTCTTTATTTCAATGTGACCAACAGTCATATTGAAAACTAAGTGTCCTGCAACCTAAAAATCAATCACTTGAACATATCCACAAATGATTTGTGAGGGCAGAAGCACTCCAGGTTGTAATTCTGTTAACCATGTCGTGGTACAGTTGACTAAGACTGGGAACCTATGCACAGCTGGGAACATCCCGTGCGTTGGTTCGAACCCTTATCACGGCCCTTGTGGACTTGTTCATTTGATTTTTCACGTTATTGCGATTTCTGTGTGTATCAATCACTTGACCAAACCCCATGCTTCATTAATACTGTACCTGAATCATTTCTAATTTTTCTCCAGTAGCATGTAGGAGGGATAATGTTGAGTGCAGCTGATGGAAACAGTTTAGCAAGTAGACAGCAGATTCTACTGCTCCTAATCCCGAGGCACTCTCATTTATGGCATTTACCAGTGGATCAACTACACAGCTGACAATCTGTATAGGTACAAAAGTTAGGACAATTTTAAAATGTCAAAGAATAAATTACAATTATTAGTTGCATATTGAATGGATCATTATCAACTAATCAGTATTAATTTAAGAATAAATATTTAATTGCTTAGGCAGAAAGGTATATGAATGAAGCATGAATCTTCCAATGCCCCTCCTAAATGAAAAATTAAAGTGAACTGCATGTAAATAATCATCATATATATGCTTTGAAGAATGAAAAAAGTAAATGAGACTGTTATGGCATTGAAAAAGGAATCTTTAAGAATAATCATTTACCATTTATCAATACCCAAAACAGGCTAATACAGGTACATATTAGGGACGAGGTATGTGAAGGTACATGCAAGAAGTGAATGACAGCAATTTAATAAAGGTGGCAATGTTATCTTATATCACTAACTTATAATGCAAAGTTGAAATTAATTTGGCTTGAAATATTGACAAAGTTTTAATCATGAATATTTAATTTGCATGGTCTAGACCTGCAGTATTAATGAGTCCCAAATAAAGAGGTCTGGATCTTCTACTCGAGACCAATTGCAATGAGTTAGCTATATTGCAATGCACTTAGGCACTAGGAGATTCGAACTGCTGACCCCACAGCTGTGAGATGAAAGCTCTTCCACTGAGCTATTGAGAAGCCAAAATAGGAAAAATTTCAGAGGCAGCAAACTACTGCCCGAGTGAAATTTTATACTTTTCCCAGCTCCTATTTAAACACACAGGAATTTGTGATCCATGACCATGTCATATAAATTGTCAACCACACTAAAACATATTCTTTTCATATAACTTTTTATTGTACTTATAAAATATAAAATATTAATATAATTTTATAGTAGTTTGTAATGAAGAATGATAACAGTAATTTAAGGTTATTACTTTTTGGAGAGAGCTAAGAAAAAACAAAGGCAATAATATGAGCAGTGTATACTGTGCTAAAAGCAACACATAAAATTACTGAACATATTTTGCATTACATCTTATTAAGATTTGTTTTATACTATTTTTACCTGCTTAAAGTCATGCTGAGCATCATCTGCTATAGTTGCTGCTGTAACTACTTCTGTGAGTAGCCCAAGCGTACGAGCAACACCAGGTGTTGGAGCCAGCACTTCTCCTGGGGGTTCAATGCGTTCACTGACATGGCTCACCTATGAATCCATAATTACACTATCGCTCGCTTTGGACACCGATCACGTTCATTTTTTTTCTCCTGAGTCGCAGCCGTGGAGAGGACTTGCGTCCACTACAAAAAATATTTGTATAAAATTCATTTTTTATCCAATTGACCTCGGGATAGTTTCAAAATAAGCACCTTTAAAATGCGCACAATTTGATACAAAATGAAAGATGTAACACAAAACGTGATGTCAGAACACTTGAAAGATTATAAATACATTTTTGGGTCTAAATTTTAAATTTTAAAATATTTGTTAAAATTCTATTTATTGTGCTATTATTATGGGACTAGTTTTAAAATGTGCGCCTTTATATTGCGAACAATTTGATACCAAAACGAGTGATGTAACATGAAATTTTATGTCAGAACACTGGATATATATAAATAATTTTGATGACGAGTGTCCAAAATTAAAATATTTGTTAAAATTCCAGTTATTGCTCTACTATTATGGGACTAGTTTTAAAATGCGCACCTTTATTTTGCGAACAATTTGATACCAAAACGAGCGATGTAACATGATAATTGATGTTATCAAATTGAACGAGTATACACATTAGGTTATAGTGTGCAAATTGGGGCTCGTTCACAGGTAACTTTAGGCTTTGCTGCAGGGAGTCTCGCCAGGCTTTTGGACATTATATGCATATACATCTGCAGGGAATTTAATTGCGAACACAATGATACCAAAACGAATGATGTAGCACAAGAATTAAAGTGAGAAAACTGAAACGAGTATACACATTTAGGCGTCGCCGCACCATTGGCCTCATGACATCAAAGTCTGCTGTGCGCGCATGGCGCCGGCGATAGTGTTCAGAGCAGGAGAAAGTTGTGAAGGGGTAATGAGAAACCCCTTCAATGACAGCAATGAGGAACCAGCTAGTACAGAATAGAACCAGCTATACAGAATAGTGAGCAATACCCTAAACATTTCCTGCAAGTGATAATCAGAAACGCAAAGAACACCAATTATTGCCCTGTGAACTATGAATAACAAATCAAAGGTACCACCAGTGGGTGGTAGCATCTGTCAAAACAACAGTCACTTCAAGTGCAGGCCACCCCAGCAGACTCAGAGAAGACACATGAAAAAAGTGGTGAGAGCGGAAGCATCCAAGGAAGTGATCCAGAAAGGAATGTTTCACCATTTTCAATACCCTATTTTTGAGCTAAGGCCCATTGAATACTCCCAGAAACAACTAGCATCCATCTCAAGGCAATATAATCCCAAGAAAGAATTCAGGAAATCTTACATGAACAAGAGAATGAAACAAATGCACAGTGAAACAAAAACAGTGATTGAATATAATTTGTGAGTATGCTGGGAATATGGGAGAATATTTCAGGGTAGGTATTTTAAGTGCTGAAGCATAGATCCTTAGAACTGACTGGTCTAAAGGTATGAAGTTAGGGATAAGAAAATCATTAAAAATAGGACTGCATGGTAAACTTTACAGCACTCCATATTTATTACGTTTCTTTTAATAAGTTGGATATTTTCTAAACAACACTGTATGAATATCCCTACAAAATACTGGTAATCGGTATTATATACTTCAGCAAACTGAGTTAGAAAATCTCTAAATAAATAACTCTGAATTAGACAAATGTAGACAGCAGCAACAAGAATACAAATTACTGTATGTCTAAGAAATGAAAATAGTTAGTATCTAAACTAAAACTATATTGTTGGTTCATAAACACAAATCATATTCATTAACCAAATATGTTCACCGACATTTGGAGGAAACAATACTGTACCACTAAAAAGTATTATAGGCAATATTGCCAGAACAGGGACACCTTCAAGAGAAAAACTAGATAGTTTTTCTTCAAGTGTCAGACCAACCGGGCAGTGGGAGACATGTGGGCCTGCGGACTGCTCTAAGCAACAGCCTGTTGAATCAAGCTCTCACAAGTCAAGCCTGCACTGGGCCGAGGAGTAGAAGAACTCCCAGAACCCCCATCCAGCAGGTATAAGCAATATTTTGGAATGATGACAAAGTGATGCAAACATCATAAACAGTGTCATGCTAATGATATATGTTTTTTTTTTAATTGTCTTTATTTAAGTGTTAATGTGTTAGTCATAATTTAGATCTAAAATAATTAATGTATTAATGCAAGAAGAGTGAATTTCACATGGGTCATGATAAACATTATTCGAGTAAACTTTAACTATAATATTACAAGACCTGTAGGATGGTGTTATGGTAGAATCGTAAGAGGTTACTGATCTTGTACAACTGCACAGGTTTTTTGCCACCTTCTCTTCTTTGATCAGTCACTATCATTTGCTCAATTCGTGTCTTCAGAGGCCGACACACGCTTTCAGATATGCTTGCCACAGTAGATTGTGTCTGCTCTACAGGATCTAGAATTACATAATTACTCTTTTTCTTAAATTAATCTATATATTTTGCTATATTAGAAAAGATACACTTTATTTTTAGTTGGATCAGAAATTATAACAAAACTAATGTCTTAAAATTGCTATAAAAGGAACTGTAGTTACATAAAATTTCTCAAGATAATTATATACAAGCGACCTTTATATAGCACATGCTTATACAGCACATTTTTAACATACTGTAATTCAATTTTAATTGACAACAATTTGAAATGCATATGCTATTGTTATATAGTATGCACTTTTAACAAGTTTTACTGATATCACTGCATATTTTTCTATTTCATCATTCGTTACATAAAAAACAATCTTCTCCCACACCTGCATTAATTCCCCATAAAGAGTGGGAAAAGAATATTACTTACTGATGGACAGATTTTTATTATCAACTCACCAATATTTGAGCATTTAGCAAACAAGACCTGCGCAGCTTCTCTCTCAGATGGTAATGCCTGATGAACCCATGCCAGCATATCGCCGACATATCTCAAGGGGTCATGAGCCTGGAGTTCAATAGGACGGGGAGCACCACCAGGTCCACCAATGGTAAGAGCATCTAAAAAACCCCGTACCAGCCATCCTCGTCGAACAACTATCCACTCTTCAACTACTAAACTGCAATCAAAGATACTGAATTAGTTTTCCACAAGGCGGGAATAAGATATTCTTTAGTAATCTAAAACTTTTCACACTCATTCAAAACAAGGAATAGAAGAGTAATAAAATACTGAAATACCATACCAGTTGATGGTGTAAAAACCAAGACAAGCTGCAATTTAAAACACATTGAGAAAGCTACAGAGGAGGAGGAGGGGATATCTTACACAAGTCATTAGATTCCCGTCTTTTCCATGATGCTAGTCTTTAATGGCCAGTTAAAGGTAAACATATCTGATTATAAATTTTCACAGATACTTAATTATGCCAATGTTTTTCTTCAAGAAAGAGATTAGTTAAAACAATCTGAATCTCAGATATTTACCAAGTATTCATTATTTATATGTGGAACATACATATTTTAAATAAAAATCAAGATATACTACTTCAACATAAGTAGAAAAAAGGTAAGTATTAGGTAAATATTAACTGACATGTAATAATAAATATTACATGTCAATACATTTACCATTCATATACCTATATAAACAAATTACACATTTCCAATGCTAAACAGCCAATTTTGGAACAATTCTTTGTGAATAATGAATGGCTAAATAAATACTGTATTCTGTAATCAAATACATGTCAAACCCAATTAATTTATTAATAGCAGAAATTAGGAGTAAAGCTTAATTACAGAGAAGACTTTTAGTAAATTCTATCTTTCTTCTTTAAAATGTAGTGGCCTAAAAGTAAAAACATTACTGCAAATGAAAAAACTATGGACTTTCTAGTGGAACAAGTTTTTAAACATAAAAATTATATGCATTACACCTACGATGGTAACTGGAGTACAGTATAACACAAAACATATACCAATTACAGTAGAAGCAAAGCATCACTAGATCCATTTTCTTTACAAATATATACTGACTTGAAAAGAACTGGTCTTTCCTGAAGAGCAGCCAAGGCTTGAGTAAGCAATGGTGAAGGATCTGGCGAGCGACACTGGGATTGACACCAGCGGTACAGACGTTCCAGCCCGGCCTCACGACACACATTCATCTGTTCCATAACATCCAGAGCTGTTTTTTGGTGACCTGTCTAAAATATAAAACAATGATAATATTAGATTAATTGAGAGAGGCTAATGAAAGAAAGGATAATATATGATGGGAGCAAATACTGTATTTTCAGACACTTTGATAATGTCTTAACTTTAAATCACAAAAGTAAATCCCAAACTTTTGCTAAGATCAATATTTATTGTACTGTATGGATTTGTGAGCCCCTTGAGAGACCTTAATTAGATGAGGGTAGAAATAGCCTAACCTACTCCATCCTTTTGAAATATATTTCATTATCTCAATAAACTTACTTGAACCAAACAATTCAATTTATTTTTATAATACATAAAAACAAAAAACAAACTATGATCTAAGGTAGGTATATTGTAGTTCATCTATGGGAATATTCATTCATCAACGTTTTAGTTACCTGCAGTAAATATTTAGTATTGTTTCGAATCTTCTGTGTTTTCTCCAGTGCAGAAAAAAACTCCTGAGTGATGGGTGACTCCCTAGTTGAGCCCTTTATTACGGACACTTCTTCCAGTGTTAGTTGAAAGGTTCGCACAAAAGCATCAGCAACTTCTTCTTCCATATGCAATTTATTACTGAAGTAAAAATTCTTATATAAAAACAATACCATTATTTCTACATGTATTTTGTATTGTTACTTCCCAGAATTGCCCTTCTACAAGGTTATGGACCCCATTTACAATCTTATTCAACTATTTCAAATGTCTTCTAGGGTTAAATTATTTAAGAAACACTCAGACATTTGACAATGATTACAAATAATGATTTTGCTATCATTGATAGTTATTCAGTTACAGTACCTTGTCTAGTAGGTGGAGGAAAACACAAGGATTGCAAAAACTACTTGAATAATGCCAATAAATACACTAATACAGAACATTACTATATCTAATACAAATATATGAGGATTTGCAGTAACACTTTTATTGAACATGAAATTTAGCACTTTCTTAGAGACCCCCAATCTCATACTATTGTTGGAATATCTAACAGGTCTCATATCTAATATCTAATTAGGTCTCTGTTTTTCCTCCCAGGCTGTTTTTATTATAATACTTTGGTCATGTATAAAAGATCATGAAAAGAAAACAGTAAATGAATTAATATTATTTATGCTATATAGTACCAAATAGTATATAGTACCATTTTTACCTGTGTAAAAATGGTACTATATACCAAATAAAGATAAGTACAGTAAAAGTAAAATGAATCACATCTTCTCACCTTTGATTTTGAAGTGAGGTTGTCTGATGAATTAGGTGACGAGTCTCAGACTTTGTTGACTGTAGTCTGCGCTTCATATCAACACAAACTTCATTCATTGAACTAACCTCTGTGTATATGTCATCAACTGCTTCCTTTACATCTCGGAGAGCATGAACAAATTCCTGAAAGAGGCATGCATATTATCAAAAATATTATCTTAATTTGAGGGAACAAGAATTATCTTGTACAAGTGAAACAAATTAAATTCAATCAACTCATTATCAATACAGTTGAATAAAACCAAAGGGGGATATGAATAAAGGCTTATTATAATATTAATGAATATTTATGTAACACTTCTAAGACTCCTCATTCCATACATACCTCACTAATTCCAACACTACGTTTCTCAATCTCGCCTCTGAGATTTCTGCGACTTCTCAGCGTATTCTCTGTGAAAAATGTTGACAACTCCTTCAGAGCATCAAGAGTATCCTGAAATATTGAATAAATAACTAAAGAGAAAAAATGAAGCCCCAAAACATAACAAAGTCATTTGATATATAATACTGCATACTAAACTCAGAAATGATTTACACCCATTTTTATACTGTTCCAAAATACTGCAGTGCTCTTTGGGCCTGTAATCCAAGTATTTACCTATTTGACAGGGACAGAAATCTGGCAGCCTGTCAAAGGTCCCTTTATTATTCCTGAGAATATTTTTCAACTAGGTTTTGAACTGAAAGTAATGTTTTGGCATTTACAGAACACATCTTTGGGTTCAATTACAAACTCAAACTAGGGTGATAATAATAATTAATAATAATAATAATGATAATTCATTGTGTTGGGGGACAGGCATCCAGTGTGTATATACATATTAAGCTTATATCAAGGTACCCCCAAAGGTCAAACTACAAACCCTCCCCAGGATGCAACCCAACAACAAGCAAATCCTGGGTACCTATTTACACCTAGGTGAACAGGTGCATTAGGTGATAAGAAACGCACACAACCATTTCTGTCCCGCCCTGGATTAATACCCGGAATTCCCGATTGCGAGTCGAGAACGAACCAGACTGCACTACTGGGACCCAAATTAATTACCGCATTACAAAGAGGTAGGGTTAAAAAAAAAAGCCTCAAATCTTATTTGAGTTACATTATCACTACTTTCTATCAACATAATCTAGCCAAACGAAAATAGCAGAAATCTATGTTAGGGTGTATAAGAACTGCCACTCTGGCAGGTGACGCCTCCCTACAGTGCGCTGCGGAACAGGATCTATGAGCCGCTTCCTACCCTATAAACAAGCAAAATTTAGAGTAACCTTGTCATTTTCGAGTCTGGTCTCAAGAATTTTGTTAATCTTCCTTGAGAGAGGGTTATTAGCAAGCTTTTCTCCACTTGCATTGTCAGTGGCTGCTTTCGTGTCACCTCCCATCTTGTTGACATCAATATATCCAGATCATGTTACGTTGTTCAACTCTTAAGTAATATATCTTTTATATAATAAGTACTATTTCTCGTCTTCTTTTTGTCTATTAATAATTTTATTTTTATTTTATATGTAGGATAATACATAATAAGTATACTTTTTCGTTAGTATAATACAAATGTACACTTTTGTGCGATACATAGTTAAAACAAGTTTGGCATTTATTTTTGTTTTGAAACAGATTTAAAGGCCTTAAATAAACATAAACAAAGCTTTAAAAGGAAATTTAATGTCTTTAAAAGCTGGTTCAATTATTGTGCACCCCATACCCACCCTGTGCATAGTATTAGACCCCCCCCCATACCCATTCTAAAGGTAGTAGAAGTAGATCTTGTACCCATCCTGTCGGTGATGATGGACATCTTACCCGGCCCCTCCTGGAGCACTTATCACCTGAGGTTACAGGGAAGTTTATAGAATTTTAAACGTTTTTTGGCCGGTTCTTATGGTGGTGAGATGGGTGTCCGGTGCCGGCCCGATCCAGAGGTGCCGGCCCGATCCAGAGGTACCGGCCCGATCCAGAGGTGCCGGCCCGATCCAGAGGTACCGGCCCGATCCAGAGGTGCCGGCCCGATCCAGAGGTACCGGCCCGATCCAGAGGTGCCGGCCCGATCCAGAGGTACCGGCCCGATCCAGAGGTGCCGGGAGTTGGGCCCTTAGAGTTATGACCCTTTTATGGTGGGCTCCGGTGTGCCCTCAGTGTATGGTCGGAAACCGATTCGTTCTGCTGGAGGTCACTGGATAATTTTTGCGTTTTTGCCCATTTGGGTACGAGTTTAGGATGGTCTGTGTTTTTGCCTTGACTGCCCAGTGTTCCCTGTGTCGGGTGGTGGCTGGTGCTTGTCTCCCTGAAGGACTCTTTGGGGCTACCCAAATAGCTGCCAATCGGTGTGCTTATTCGCCCCAAGGCGCGATCGTTTCCGTTGACAGGCGACGTTAATAAGAACCATTTGGCTTTGCTTTTTACCCTTCCTGGGAACGTCGAGACACATGGCACCACTACCCTTGTGGCCTTTAACAACAATAATCATACTCATCTTATGGGAGGCAGGGGACACCATACCCATTCAGTGGGTGATAGCAAAGTAAGTACATACCCATCGTGTGGGTGATATAATCATAAGGGATACAGAGGCACATATACATTCACCTAATATTTATATAGTAGTACAATATCACATTTCAGTACGCTGGATACGTAGTGCTGTGGACCAGGGTTCGATTCCTGGTGCCGGCGGAAATACATGGGCAGTTTTTTCACCCTGATGCCCCTGTTTCCTAGCAGTAAATAGGTACTTGGGAGTTAGACATCTGTTACGGGTTGCTTCCTGGGTGTGTGTGTGTGCTTGGGAAAAAAATAGTTAGTAGCTAGTAACAGTTGATTGATTGACAGTTGAGAGGCGGCCCGAAAGAGCAGAGCTCATCTCGCAAGCACAACTAGGTGAATAGAGTTGCTTTCTAGCCCTCTGGCACCGAACCATTATCTCATGCCTTCTAGAAAGGACCGAAAAAGTTGGGCGCGTTTCCTTTCACCTGATTCCTCTGTTAGGTAATTGTTAGCTAGAGATACACTGATGAACCTAAGTGCAGGCTTCATGTTCCAACAAAGGGAATTAAGTATATGTCAATATTCCATTAGATTAATATAGGATCCCACCAACGGCTTCTCGGTTACCAAGTATATATGTGTTTTTTAAATATTTTACATGTAGAGTCATTCTTCTTAAATGATTATTTAATTTATTTTGTAGGCATATCATTTTTTATATGAAAAAATCCAACAAACTGAAGTAATTTATCTGTTGAAAAAAAGAGGAAAGGTAAAAGAAAAAAAAAAGTGTGACTGAATTTACAAAATCTTCATCGACACTCGAACTGAAGATCACTTGTCCTTAATTAACATCAACTACAAGGGAACAAAACATTTTGTAATTTCCTACTCGTTCTCAAGTCAGAGTTGGAGTTCCTGGCAGAGTTACAGAACGAGTTTGGGTGCATACAAATAGCTGCCTCGTTCGAGCCAATAGGCTTTCCCTTAGTTTCCTTAATTTTTATCAGCGTCAGCACAGAAATGTTACACCTTTGTGTTGTCTAGGATCGCGAGGAGGAATCCTTCGTTATTAAGATAAATCGACAATGTATATAATTCATATGCATATATATAAATACATGTATGAGAGATTGGGCAAATTTAGGGCCACACACACTTTCCATATTCATCATCAGCCTCATGCAAACCAAGGTCAAGGCCATCCATAACATATATTACTTTTTAATTCTCAGATTAATCTAATCCTCCAAAATCACTATTAATCTGTTGATTTTATATGCATCACGCCAATGTTAAATATTGGCATGATGCACAGAAAACTATTATTTATGCACTGAAGTGGGACCAAACCTTTGAAATTCTAAACTGTGGGAATCTGTTACTCAGAAACGCATCCACAGACTTTAACGTAATGCATATCCAATATTTTTTATTAACTTAAGTATAAGGTTATGAGATACATCGAAGAGCCTTAGTGCAGGCTTCATGTCCCAACAGAGGGAATTACTTATATGTCAACATGTAATATTACAAAAAGAATGTGTTGAAACTTAAATAGTTTGCCTAGCTTGGGTGGTTAGGTTCCGTTGGAAGTTATCCGTATTTGCAACCCGTCCTCAAGCGGGTAGGGGCAGCAGCTGTCCCCCTCCCCTTGAGACTAACCCGTCCTCATCAACAAAGGCTAAATGCTCGTTAATCCAACCTCCAAACCACCTGTTTATGCAACCCGTCCTCGACTCAAGTCCATTACATCCAGCGGTCAACCCCACAGACGCATTCATAAATTTTAACTTGCTGTTCATTCAAAACGGGAATTTTCTCAAGTATAAATTAATATTATAATATATTAGCATATTGTGCATATATAGGCATAGGTTAGGTGTTTAGGTTCTGTTGGCAATTATTTGTATTTGTAGTACGTGGGTGAAGCATTTATAGCGTTGTGATTCGAACAAAATTCGTCAGTGAAGCACTTGTTCCGGATATGTTCGAACGTCAGCAGTTGTGAGTCGTGTGTAAACCGCTTTTCATTCATAAACAGGGGGTTTGGCGGGTGCATGGAATCACTTTTGGATCTTTGTTTGGAGGACGGGCTGCAACCCGTCCTCGACTCAAGTCCATTACATTCAGCGGTCGACCCCACAGGCGCAGTCATAAATTTTTACATGCTGTTCATTCAAAACGGGAATTTTCTCAAATATAAATTGATATTATAAAATATTAGCATATTGTGCATATATAGGCATAGGTTAGGTTAGGTGTTTAGGTTCTGTTGGTGATTATTTGTATTTGTAGTACGTGGGTGAAGCATTTACAGTGTGGTAGTTCAAACAAAATTCGTCAGTGAAACACTTGTTCCGGAAATGTTCGAACATCTATAGCTGTGCAGCCCGTCCTCCAAACAAAGATCCAAAAGTGCAGCCCGTCCTCCAAACAAAGATCCAAAAGTGATTCCATGCACCCGCCAAACCCCCTGTTTATGAATGAAAAACGGTTTACACACGACTCACAACTGCTGACGTTCGAACATATCCGGAACAAGTGCTTCACTGACGAATTTTGTTCGAATCACAACGCTGTAAATGCTTCACCTACGTACTACAAATACAAATAATCGCCAACGGAACCTAAACACCTAACCAATCCTATGCCTATATATGCACAATATGCTAATATATTATAATATTAATTTATATTTGAGAAAATTCCCGTTTTGAATAAACGGCATGTTAAAATTTATGAATGCGTCTGTGGGGTTTACCGCTAAATGTTATGGACTTGAGTCGAGGACGGGTTGCTTCAAATACAAATAATTGCCAACAGAACCTAAATACCTAATTATACATTGAATTTGATTGTATAATAATGTTAATTCATATATGAGTGAATTACTTTACTATTAAATACTTTAATATTAAATCATAATTTATTGTGTCGAGGGTTGTTGTTGTTATAGATTCAGCTACTTCGAACAAGTTCCAAGTAACACGGGCTATGGTGAGCCCATACTGGACTTACCTGGGACAGGAGCGGTGCCAGTGTGTCGAGATTGATTGATGATTGATAAAGATTAAGCCACCCACAAGGTGGCACGGGCATGAATAGCCCGTAAGTGGTGGCCCTTTTGAGCCATTACCAGTATCAAGAGCTGATACTGGAGATCTGTGGAGGTGCGACTGCACCCTGCGTGACGGGAGATGTCTCTCGTGGTGTGTCGAGGGATTGATTGATTAAGATTAAGCCACCCAAGAGGTGGCACGGGCATGAATAGCCCGTAAGTGGTGGCCCTTTTGAGCCATTACCAGTATCCAAAGATGATACTGGAGATCTGTGGAGGCGCAACTGTACCCTGCGTGACGGGAGATGTCTCCCGGACCAAATGGTGACCAAATGGTGTGTGTCGAGATTGATGATTGATTGATGAAGATTAAGCCACCCAAGAGGTGGCACTGGCATGAATAGCCCGTAAGTGGTGGCCCTTTCGAGCCATTACCAGTATCAAAAGATGATACTGGAGATCTGTGGAGGCGCAACTGCACCCTGCGTGACGGGAGATGTCTCCCGGACCAAGTGATGACCAAGTGGTGACCGGACCAGTCCCAAGTGGTCCCGGACCAAGTGGTGACCACGCAGACTCGTGGACCTAGGGACCGGGGTTCGATCCCAGGCACCGGCGGAAAAACAAATGGGCAGAGTTTCCTTCACCCTGATACGCCTGTTACCTAGTAGTAAATAGGTACCTAGGAGTTAGACAGCTGCTATGGACTGCTTCCTGTGTGTGTGTGAAAAAAACAATTAGTAGTTAGTAACAGTTGATTGATTGACAGGTGAGAGGCGGGCTGAAAGAGCAGAACTTAACCCCCGCAAGCACAAGTAGGTGAATACAACAAGCTGACCTATTTACTG